CCAATCGAGCAAGAATTGGCCACCGCGATCGCGAGAAAAAAAATTGGACCACAAAAAACCCGTGATAGCGGGGACGAGATAAAAGCGGAAGTAAAGCGCGCGAAGAGAAAAGGATTCCTCGATGGTTCGATCATTCGTGGTCAATCCGATTCATATTTCTATAGATCGTAAGATTCGTTCACGAAGGAGAAAAGAGGAGGAGGGGGGGGGGGGGCAAAAAAAAGAGAAAAAAGAATAAGGTAGTAATTTGGAAGAAATGGTAAAAGAGAAAAAAAAAAAAAAAAGAAAAAAAAAGAAATGGAAGAGGAAAAAATGAAACCCGCGTGGATATATAATATATATACATATATATATATATATATTATGTAACCTACATACAGACAACAGTTTAATGAGGAACAGTGAGGATAATAATGATAACGTTATTATTATTATGATTACTATTATTACTATTATTATTATTGATTATTATTATTATGAATTATTATTATTACTATATTGCTACTAATTACTACTATTACCATTAACTATTACCATTACTAAAAGATTAACGAAACACTAAACTGGAAGTATTACACCGATTATACATAATTAATTATACATATGTATATATATATATATATATTTATATATATAAAGGGATATATATATATATATATAATATATATATATAATACATATATATATATATATTATAAATATATACATAGTAGCGATAAAAGATCGATAGGCGTCGAAATCGAATGGAGAGTTTGTCGATTATTATTACTACCGTATTGTAACCGCTTGAAGTAGCCTTAATAATTGTAATTAACGAACGCACGCGTGAGATATTAAAAGAAAAAAAAAAACTGCGTATATCTTATTGGTTGGTGTGAGGAGACTGCGTATTACCTCGTTTTAATCTTGTTTTCTAAATATTTATTTTTTCCTTCCACTTCTTTTTCAATGATTAAAAGTTTTGAAAGAAGTCGTCAAGCAGAATTATAAACGCATCTTAGAAAAGAAGAATTTTATTAAATAACAATTTTTCTCTTGCACGGTTTCCTATTGCCGCTCGTATTGGTCAATTAATATCATTCGTCTTAGTCAATTACCACGAGTCGAATTGCTACTAGAGATAAATTTAAATTTTAATCGAACAATTACTTGACTTTTTAATCGAAACAAATAATTTTCCCAACTTCCAACTTCCAACTTTTTCCCAACGGAATGGAAAACAAGAATTAAATATTTATTATAAACTTAACTTTTAACATTTTCGATATAGAGATCAGATGATCGAGATCAAAACGAGAACATTCGTTCTCTCCTCAGGTTAACCAACATCTGAAATTCCTAAATTGTAGAATGATTCATCCTAGTCGGTAAGCGAGTCACAAATAGTAGAGATGATAATCTACTTTACCTGTTTCACGAATGAAAGCAATGAAAATAAAAAAATGAAAAAAAAAAAAATAATCACGAAGGTAGCATACAGAAATTATTAGCGATTATATACCTGTTCTTCTGAGATTAGGCGAAGAGATGATTTATCTAAAATGAAAATTAGCTCGAGTCTAGCGATAAATGATACTTGATAACACTTAACCTGTTTCCCGTCACGGATGTCAACCGATCGATTAACGTCGTTGTTATTGTTGGACGAATGTTTCGAGGTAGAAATTATTCCAAATTCGAATAATTTTTCAATTTTTTTGAAAAATAATAATGGAAATCGAATCGAACGTGGATTTTCGATGCAACGTTGTTAATTCGAGACGGAGAGGTTAGGTTTTGATTACGTACTGCCATTACGTATTTGAATGGAAATCGATGAATTGACAAATTTAATATAAACGTTCTGTAATACAGTAGAGAAAATATATGTGAAAAATTTATAATACAATGTAATTTTAAAATTTTTCTTCTATGATAAGAGCTTATATGATAAAAATATATATATATATATATACATATAATAGTGTTCGTGAAATATATATTTGATGAAAACATCTACAATAGTATTTCCAATATTTAATGACACTAGCGTGAAAATTTGTCAAGTGATCGTATCAATATTGGAAATTTGTCACATCACAGGAACCGTATGTTGGTACAAATATTTGAAATTTGTCACGATGTTACGATCGAAATGTCACAATGTTCGCCATGATAAAATTCAGCCACATGACAGCAAATAAATTAACCTTTGCATTTTACTAGTCATCTTACAATTTCTTCTACATAACTGTTCTTGTATCTAATATAATAAAAGAGGGGGAGGGAAGAAAAAAATCCCAAATTGAACAACGACACGAATCTATTTATATTAACACTTTCATTATTGAATCAAATAGAAATAAGTTGTTTAAGATTCCAAATCTTCACGAATGATCTATGAGTTCTAATCTATAAATCTATTCTAATCTAATAAATCGAGGTTTTATCAATTTAATCAAGTAGAAAAGATGTTTCATCAAAGATCCATGAAGAATCGAATTCGATATTCCACACCACGAACATTATATAATCCTGTTTTAAATTGAAAAAAAATTTAAAAGCTACAATTGTTGCGGATCATCAATTCAAACTTCGCTTACACTTTATCCATGTATTTTTATAACACAAAGTGACAAAGGTGGCGCTTGTGTCCACGTGGATCCGTAATCATTGTGGCTCGATCTACCTTCCAAGTTTTCATAATCTCGATCCTCGATCGTTCGTACATACATATACGATTTAAATTGCAAAAAAAAAAAAAAAAAAAATCAAAAATAACAAAAATATAAATTTTAAAGCAATTCTACCTCGAATCATTCCGTATATCAATAGTATATAAATAAAAGAAAGATAAAAAAAAAAAAAAGAACGAAGTGGATCATTGAAAATCGAAGTTTTATCAGGACGCACACAAGTAAAAAAGAGCGAAAAAAAAACCATGACTTTCAGATGATGTATTAACGAGTTATATATTAACGATACTATAATTCTAGGCGACTTCCTTAGCGTGTAAGATTTTATTATAACCAACAAGGGACGCTCGATAATAAATCCGACATCGTTCCAAGCTCCTAAATAAACGGATGAAGGTTATCAACAAAAAAAAAGAAAAAAAACAGAATAAACGAAAAAAAGGAAAAAAGAAAAAGGATAAAAAGAAAAGCTTCCACATCGATCGAATAAAGATCGATGAGTGGATACATGATTTCCGTGCGAGAAAAGTGTTTAGGAAGTGCGAGTATAGATGGCGTTTCAACGTACAGCGTAACATTTTACATTTGCTTCGAGCACTATTTCAATAGATACATTATTAAAGAGGTTCGTGAGAGAAAAGTTAAAAAAAAAAAAAAAAAACGTACTAAACGAGAAAATTGTCTATTTTTTTTTCTTCCTGCATTGATTTGTAATGAGATAACGATGAATGTGAAAGTTTGGGTGAATCTTATGCATGTATGATGATATAATCTGTACGAAGAACTTTATCATTTAAATTTTATTTTTAATTTTTCTTATTGATTTGATAGGATAATAAGAAGTGATTTTTTTCATTTTCTATTGAATTATTATTTTTTTGTCTATAAATTGAGAATATATTTGAAATAATTTATGCAATAGAAACATTTCAGAGTTAGTTTTGGTTAGGTTAAATTTTGGATGAAGTTATATAAGATATTTTGATGTCGTCATTAACAATGAATGTCATCAAAACAAAATCTCACATTATATCAGATACAACGACGAGTTAACATATGAAAATTTTTGATTAATCGAAAAATTAATTTAAAAAATTATACGATCATATTTCTAAGATTCTAATTCTAAATAATAAAATCTCTTCTATTGTCATGTAAGTTCGTTAAAAGGTTTTCGAAAAAGAAAGAAAAAAAAAAAAACGAAAAGAACGATTAACGAATCTGTTTCTGAATGAGAATGAACGAATGTACGAATGAATAGGCGATGAAAAAGGAAAAAGTCTGGTAAAACGTTCGAATGAATTTCCGTTCAAGACAATTTAAGAGTGAGATAGAGAAGGAACGAAGAAAGATGTGCATCCTGTGAAACTTCGAAATCGTTGAGACGTCGAGTTGTCGTCGAGTGGGCCTTTTTAAAGTTCTTTTCGAGCCTCCGAGCCCTTGACGACTGAGTGTTCGCCGCTTTTAAACCTTCCGACATTTCACTCTTAACATTCGTCGTGAATGATAAAAACTATTTTCTTTTGTTAAGTGTAATCAACTTTATTTACAAAAAATTAATGGAAAAGAATTAAAAAAAAAAAGAGAGAAATGGATAAAAATTTGAAGAGAGTAAAACTTTTCGAAGAAAAAAAAAATTACGAAAGGAAAATATGAAAAAAATTATAGATTCAAGGAGAATGTTGAAAGGAAAAAGAATATGAAAAAGATGAGAAAATTTATGAAAATAAATATGGAAATGATATTGAAGAGTTATAGGAGATATTAAATAAGTAAGAATAAATAAATCTTGAGCAAAGATAAAAATAATAATAAATTCGAAAAGGAAAAATGAAAATGATGTTAATGGAAGGGAGAATGTGAAAAAATTGGAACATTTATGAAAATAAATATCGATAAGAGGAAATATGAAAGCCAGCGGATTTATAGAAATTAAAAGTAAATAACGTATAAAAGATGCTACAAAAAAGAAAAAAATAGATTAAATAGAAAAAAATAAAAATTGCAGATTCATAGGTATTTCATGATTTCCCAACGGTGCTCGATATATCTTCTGATGGCATACGATGCGAGACGATTTAATTGCATCGACTATTGTGCGGAAGTGGAATTTCGGGATTGAAATGGAGGGGATGGCTCGTTTCCGGTCGAATTCGACGGCTTGATCGACGATGGCGAAGGATTTTGTTGATTTTAATGGTGGACGAAGGAGCGAGAGAGAAAGTGGTATGCAATGAACACACGTGGAAATGAGAAAAAAGAAGTAGAATTTAAAACGTAAAGAAATAGAATAGGTAATAATATTGAAATATAATATTATATATGTAAATTTGATAAAAAAATTTTTCAGCGAATATTATTTGCAGTGAAAAAAAAGGAAAAAAAAAAAGAAAAGAAGAAGAAAGAAATATTGATAAATTTCTTCTAAGAATTGGATACAAATCAAAGAAATAATTGGTCCTTTTCAGAATTATTGAATATATTCTCCATTAATATAATATTAGATAAAAAGAAATTAAGATTAAAAATCGAGATAAGGTGTTTGAAATTTTGACAAGACGTTTCGAGAGGTCTTCTTCCTTTTCTTCTTTTTCTCGTGTTGCAACACGGTTTTTATTCGCAACAGTCGATTGTGCATTCCATCCTTTCATTTTCATCTTCCTTTTCTTTGTTTCTTTATTTATGAATCGAGCGTTGAAGGAGAAATAGAGAGAAGGATGGAATTCACCTCTTTTCAAAAACAAAAAGAGAAAGAAAAAGGATAAAAAATACTTGGGATTCGGTTCCATCCTCCTCCTATTTAATTTTTCGAATGGAAAAATTATGATTCTTCGGAGGAATTGAAACTATATTTCTAAAATATATTTATCTGTCGTGTTTTTTTATTAGAAAACGAAGGGATAGAATTTATGGCGAAGAGTGGAAGAAAAATTATATTTCAGTTCTCTATTAGATCGAGAGAGAAAAAAAAGTTTTCAGATAAAAAGTTAAAGGATGGACAAAGTGGTCGGGAATGTAATTATTTCGTTTTCTTTTTCATGTACAAGTTTCGCGAGATTTTATTCCGTAGTTCCAATCGAAAAATCGGAGAAAACATTAAGGAAATAATTGGGAAAGTAATTACTCTGAATCGTCTTTTATTAGCAACTTTTTCCATTCTACTTTCTACGAGATTTTGTTTTAAACATTTGTTGAGAGATCGATTTCAAAGACAGATTTCCAAGGACAGGTAAGAAAAGGGTCTAATTCTTTATTTTTAATTTTCTTTTCATTAATTACTTTTCAATTGCAACTTTTTTTTTATTTCTCAAAAGAATTTCATTTCCTATTTTTGATTGACAAATTATACATTCAACAACTTTTCTTTATTTTTCATTGCTTCATTCTTTTTTCTACTTTTACTCATCTTTCATTATCCTACGTTATTTTTTCTTATTCTCATTTCTCTTTTTCTTCTCAAATTCTCTTTTATAATTGTATTTAATTTTTCGTTCCTTGCAAAATTTTATTTCCCACTTTTTATCAAATCGACGAAAGGAATCGAATCGAATAAAAGAACGAAGTAGGAGAATAATTGGAGAAGTAATTTTTCTAAATCTTCCTTTACCTGGCCATTATTTTTCTTTCCATTGTCTCGTCCATTTTCTTTCTCAAAAACTTTCTCAAAAACTCGTCCATCCCCATTGAGAAATCGTACAAATAAATCGTAGCGAAACTTAATCCATAATTTACCAGAGGTGGAGATAAGCTATTCGTTATTAATGTGATGAAGTAGAATCGACCGAGTATAGTCAGACATCGGAGGAACAAAGCGGCTTGAAACTACTTAGCGAGAAAGGAAACCTCGTTCTTGCGGTCCATTCATCTTTCTCTTTACCTTTTTCCAACTCTGATTACCGTTTCTTCAACGATCCCATCCCTTTCTTGCTCTTGAGAGCAAAAATTCTTCACCTTTTGTCCCCATTCCCCACCCCTCGATTTTACCGATCAACTCTTTTCATCGTCTTTCATCGACGACATCCTCTTCTTTTCTTTCTTTCTTTCTTCTCGATAAATTTGTTTTCTTTTTTTATGCATAAGAAATTATGAAATAATAAACTGGGCTCTTTTCTTTTGGTCGAAGAGAACGATTGAAGATATAAAAGTGGAGATGAACGATAACGAGATAAAAACGAGATCATATTATATTTTATGGTATTATATTTAAAATATTATGTGATCGATCGTAATTTGTGAGGATATTAAACGAAAAAATATTAAAGAAAATGACAAGAAAAAAAGGTTGATATAGTGATGAATTTAAAATTAAAAAGAAAGAAAAAAAGAAACCTGAATAAGAAATTATTAAAAAAATTTTCAAAGAAAAGAAATTTTTAAGTTATTCGACGAGATGAAAAAAAATTTGAATAATAGTAAAAAGTTATTTAAAAAATCTTCAAAGAAAAGAAATCTTAAAAATACTCGACAAGATGGCGAGGAGAAAAAAAAGAAACCCCCCTTGAATAACAGCGAGAAATATATTTAAGAAAATTTCAATGAAAAGAAATCTTAAAAGTATTCGAGAGAGATTTATAATTTATTTCCATATTGTCGTCGATTAGTTTTCTAGATATATTCCGTTGAATAACAAAGGAAGGAGGGGGGAGAGGGGCGACCGGAAGTGGGGCATAAATCGCTGGCAGAATTCGTTTTCGCGTGGAGGCACGATCAATCAGAGTCTCGACGCCTGTTTCGTTTCTTGAAAAATACGATTTACGTAGCTCGTAAATAATCGTACACCTCGTCGACGTGACGAGAACTTATGGGGCTCGTGTCACTCGAATTGTACGATCGAGTACAACGAACGATCGTATAATTAAGATTTGAGAATCGTTCGACAGTGGCATCCTCGATAGAATTGAATTTCTTCGATCGTTGAGATTTAGATGGTTGGAATAGAACGAGTTGAAGAAAGAGAGAAAGAGATAGAGAAGGAACGAGTGTCCTTGAGAATCTTAGAAAATTTTCTGAATGTATTACATCTCGTCGAGAAAGAATATGGTGATTTTTTTTTTTATGAATTTTTGGCTAATTTAAATGTTGAAAAATTATAATTTCGTTTTTCTAAACGTAAAAAATATTTTTATAAAGGGAGAAACTATTTTCGTTGGAAAATAGAAATACACGTAGAAAAGAATACGAAGGATTTTAAATTTTATAAATATTCCTGGAATTATTACGAGAATTATTCATAATTAAAAATTAAGGTATAGATTAGATGAGATTAAAAGATAAAAATCTTTATTTTAATATGTAGATTCACTTCTTTAATCAATATTAAAAGAATCAAGCAATTAATTCACATGTATACTTTCAAAAAACAAAAGATTGCTTCGATATCTCATTGTAAAATTCTTAAAAAGAAACCAAAACTAAATATCATCGATTCATTAATTAACGAAAAACATTAAAGTACTCACATGGAACGAACGATACATGACTTTCAAACACGTACGTAACACCCACAAACCATCCTACTCTTTATTGTTCCTACAATCGTTGATCCTCGTTACATCCACCCCTAATGTACCATATTCAACATATCGTCACGATCGCCGTTCCCCCAATTTCCAATGGAAATACCTTGATCGAGGTCAGCTGCCTGTTCCCAGATCTCGACACAAGAAACGAGGCAGAAGATCGACCGACCATCCCTCTGCGAACCGTGTTCCCGCGGTCGAGATTTCTGCCAGGTATCAGACCGCATCGAGGTCCGATTAAATTTGTAGGGGCGTTCAACCGCGAACGGAGAAACGTGTAACTCCATTTTCGAAAGACAGTGAAGGGAATCATCATCGTTCTTAGTTCATTAAGTATTGAAAGAAAGTTGGCGTGGATTCTTGGTGATGTCGAAGCGAGAGATGGGATTTTGAGGTTAGGAGAGGGAATAAAAAGTGTGTAAATTCTGTGATTCGTATTTCATGATGAAGTAATGTATGTCTATTTTTATTTTGGGGAGACAGACAGAGAGGAATCATTGGTTTTGAATTATTATAGAGATTGGATTTTAGGAGGTTAGAAATGATGAATGAACAAAAGGGCAAAATGCAAAATTGAATATAGATGATTTGTATTTTGTATAAAATAATGTGTAATTAATTATATAAGTTAGTTCATTAAGAAGTTGATTGAAAGGAAGTTGATGTCGATTGGTTAGTTCTATGATGAAGTTGAAGAAAATTGAGGTTAGGAAAAGAATGATGAATGAATATATATTATTAATTAAATTATGATATAAATAATGATATAAAAATCTTTTTTTTCATTATATATTTTATATTTTTATATTCTTTTTAATTTCAATATTGTGTTATGGCACAAATTAAATTGTAATTAGTTTAACATTGAATCAACTTATATTGGATAACTTAGAATAATAATAAAACAGCACAGTTCGTTTTTTTATTACACTTATATCATTATGATTTTCAATAAATCATTCGTGATTTATATGAATGAATTTTCGTTTCTCTATTTATAGATTATCTTGAATCGATTCTAAACATCAAGATAAAAATATATAATCTTATACAGATATACATATATTTATGCAAGACATGAAAAATTTAATTTTCCATTAAATGTGAAGTAAGATGTATATACGTAGAGAGACTCAATTAAAAGCAGGCAGACAGACGAGAAAATATGAATCTTTTCTTAGAAACAAACTTTTATTTTTCATTATGATGAAAAAAATTTTGTTCTTGGTTCTTTTGTATTTCAATATAAGAGGTAAAAGTGAGTGTAATCCTTGACTTTCAACGAGCGACATCTTGCGTTATCGTGCAACAGGTCTCCATTGTATTATAAATCTTCTTGCTTTATTACAGCAATTTCTTTCGCTTTAAATGAATCGATGATAATAATTGATGATGGGAGAAAATTTTATTAAATTTTTTTAATTATTCTTAAATTTTATTAATCAATTATTATTTAATTTTATTCAATAAATTATTTAATATTTATAAAACATAGCTGTGCATAGAGATTGGAAGAATTTATAATTTTATTTCGTTTCTGATGATTGAATGATAGAGAATGAAAATTATAATATGAATATTTTCGTGTTTAAAATTTTAAAAATAGGAACAACTGGATGAAGATGAAACACAGTTTGTGAGAATTCGACAGTGTGTTACGTTATTTATTTTAGAATTTGTACGCTCTGTTGTCACAAATGATTTCACAGAGCGTACCGATTCTTTAATAAG